CTGAACGTACTGCGTGCTGAAACTGAGATACAGAACAGCCAAATATAAGTCCTGCCTCCGGGAGGGCTTCCCTGGTGACCCAGTCGGTGAAGAATCTGCCTGCAGTGCGGGAGACCGGGATTCCATCCCTGGGTCGGGAAGATTCCCTGGAGGAGGAAATGGCAACCCACTCCAGTTTTCTTGCCTGGACAATCCCATGGACAGAGGAGCCTGGCGTGCTGCAATCCCTGGGGTTGTAAAGAGTCGGACACGACTGAGCACAGACCATAGGACGTCGTCACCTACCACCCTGGGTGCAGTTTACAGCTTCGACTTTGAAAGTGGCCAGCTCCTGTTATCAAAGTACAGAGACCAACCTTTGCCTCTGGGTCAAGAGTTACCAGGCGAGGTTCAGAGCACCTCATATCTCCTTGCAGGGAGCCCAGTGCCAGACCAAGAATTCCAGGCATCTCCTTGTGTAACAATTGTTAGCAAGTGGGAGTTAGGCGACTTCCCGTGTTCCTGGTTTTCTTTTGTGATTATATACTTTGTATCTTTGATAGGAGACAGCGTGACTTAAATAGCCTGCAACTAGAGGAATTGGGTGGGCGCTGAAGTATCTGTTCTATTTTTAGCTTTTAAAAGTAAATATCTTACAGAAGCAAGGAGGCCACTGTGCAATGGAATGCGGCTTGACTCTGCCGCATTTTGAGGGAATGACTGGTTTTTGTTTTTGAAAGCCTGTCTAGACTAGTGGACTCACAAGGGCGGTCTGCCCCACCCAGCACCCAGCTGAACTGTGTCCAGCTTATTCAGCTGATCTTTGAAGCTGAAGACTCCAAGCTTAAAAAAATAAAAAATCTTCATCACTTTATCCAAAGCACACATGTTTTTGAGGGTAGATTTTGCTTATTAAGAGATAATTCCCAAATCAATAAAATTCACCTGTTTGAAGGGTCCAGTTCCGTGATTTTAAATTTAATCAAAGTCAGCACACATTCTTTACAGAACACTTGAAGGTTCTCCCCGGCCCAAATGAAACAGGAGTTTGTACTGGTTTGCAGCCAGAAGCCAAATAATTTCCAGAAGCCAAATTTTGTTCTGTGTGTGTTAATCTTTTTTATTTTATGTTGGAGTATAGCCGATTAACAATGTTGTGGTGGCTTCAGGCAGACAGCAGAGGGACTCAGCCAGACGTGTACACACATCCCTTCTCCCCCAAACTCCCCTCCCATCCAGGCTGCCACGTGACATTGAGCAGAGTTCCCTGGGCTGGCCAGCAGGTCCTTGCTGGTTCTCCATGCTAAACACAGCCGTGCGTCCACGTCCACCCCAGACTCCCTGACTGTCTCTTCTCCCTGGCAGTCATGAGTTTGTTTTCTGAGTCTTGTGAGTCTCTCTCTGTTTTGTATGTAAGTTCATTTTTGTATTGTTGATATGCAATGTTGTATTAGTTTCAGGTGTATAGCAAAGTGAGTCAGTTATACATACATCTCCCCCCCCTTTTTAAGATTCTTTCACATATAGGTCATTACAGAGTATTTAATAGAGTTCCCTGTATATAGGTCATTACAGAGTATTGAATAGAGTTCCCTATGCTATATAGTAGGTCCTTGTTCATTATCTGTTTTCTGTATTTTGTGTGTGTGTGTGCATTCAGCCATTCAGTCGTGTCTGACTCTTTGCCGCCCCATGGACTGTGGCCCACCAGGCTCCTCTGTCCCTGGGATTCTCCAGGCAAGGACACTGGAGTGGGTTGCCATTTCCTCCTCCAGGGGGTCTTCCCAACCCAGGGATCGAACCTGGGCCTCCAGCATTGAAGACAGATTCTTGACTGTCTGAACCACCGGAGAAGCCCCTTTAAAGCATGAACTCGGTCGTGTTCAAGGAACCAGTGCTATTGGATTGGCCAAAAAAGTTCATTTGCCTAGCGAGTCCATTGTTCTCTAAAATTCTTGGTGTGAGAATGAAAAATGTTTCACTCAAAAGTGGATGAACTTTTTGGCCCACCCAGTGCTTCTGAATTTCTGAAACAGGAAGACAAGGTGATTTCTCGTCGGATGAAACAAATAGTTCAGTTCCCTGTTTTTCAGCAGATCACGGGAGATTAAATTCCTGCGTGTAGGGTCTTCTTGTACGTTTAACCAGGCTTTGGTTAAATGTCTGCCTTGATGGGGTTTCTGTCAATTCTAAATTCACCAGTTATCATCATCCTGTTGTTTCCTGTTGTCTTTTCCTTTATTGGTGAAATAACGTTTCTTTTTTTTTTTTTTATAACGTTTCTTTTTAAACGTATCTTCAGATGGCTTGTTTCTGCCCCTTTCCTCATCAGGGGCATGACAACCCGTTCTAGAACGCTTGCCTGGAGAATCCCATGCACAGAGGAGCCTGGCAGGCTACAGTCCCCGGGGGTGGTAAAGAGTTGGACACAACTGATCGAATAACACTTTCATTACACTCCTTTTCCTTTCTTCATGAAAGAGTGAATATGTCCTTCATCACGGGGTCTTTTCATTCTTAAACACAAGAGAGAAATATGTCAGGAAATGCTTCTGGTGTTAAAGGTATTATTATGATGTTATTCTGATGTTAAAGGTATTAAAAAAAAAAACCAAAACCCTGTGATTCTTCCAAGTTAAATTGTGCCAGAGGTGTCTGGATAAAGATACAGAGGCATCACATGTTTTATTTGATTCCTGCAGTCTCAAGGGTTAAAAAAATACAGTTTTGGGGAAGCAAGACTTTATGTTACTGTGTCCATTTTCTGCATGAGACAGCCTGCAGAGACAAGTGTAGAAACACTTTTTTATAAGATGAGGAATCCTTTCCCTTCCAGTAATTAAAATGTGTTACAGGGCGAGTGAAGTTCGTAAAAAGGAATGTGGACTGTGGCAGCCTTTTTGGAGAAACTTCCTCTTTTAGGAAGTCTGAGAGTAATTCCCCTTTCTAGCCAGCGTGTGTTCCCAGTGAGGACCGCCCAGGGGCTTACCCCGCGGGTAGCAGAAACTCGGCACCATTTCCTTTGCCAAGAAAATGTTGCTATTATTAGCCAGAAGCAGACACACTGCTTGCGCCTGCTTTTGATAAGCTTCTGGAAAGTTCATCACTTTTCCAGAACAGGCTGGCTTCTCTTTTTATGATTTCTGATTGTCTTTCTTTTGAATTTGCCCTCATCAGCATTAATCTGGACAAAGACAGTTGAGCGTGGTGTCCTCACTGTTGGCCTTTAATTTTCCCAGACCATGCCAGCGTATCAGAAGACCCGAGCGGAGATGCGCTGGGGCACTTGAAACATGTACATTTCCATGTCCAGACCTGTTCTCAAACCGGAGGAAGATTAAAGTTGTGTTAGGTTCTATATGCAAAAACGTGAATGTGTGGTATTAAGTGATTAAACAACAAGGATGCTCGGAGAATTCCTGAGCACTGTTTGGTTGAATTCGTACCCCCTGGTGCTGCTATACCAAATTTCCACCAAACTGGGAAGCTTGAAACCGTAGACATTCATCTTCTCTGAATCCCGGGGGCCAGACGTCTGAGGTCAAGGGGTCCGCGGGCTGAGCTCCCTGCAGAGGCTCCAGGGGAGGGTCCTCCCTGCCTCGCCCGGCTTCTGGGGGCTCCAGGCGTCCGTCCCTGGGCTGGTGGCCGCCTCCCTCCCGTCTCCGCCTCGTCTCCATGGGGCTTCTCCTCTGTGTCTTCTAAGGACCCTGTCCCTGGGTTTAGGGCCACCGCCGGTGACTCAGTAAAGAATCCGCCTGCAATGCAGGAGGCTGGGGTTCGATCCCTGGGTCGGGAAGATCCCCTGGAGGGAGAGCACGGCAACCCACTCCAGTATTCTTGCCTGGAGAATCCCCACGGGCAAAGGAGCCCGGCGGGCTGCAGTCCGTGGGGTCAGAAAGAGTTCGTCACTGCTGAGCGAGTTTACGGCAGCAATCGTTAATTGCAGCGTGGCGTTAGGTTCAGGTGTACGACAGAGTGAGTCAGTTACTTATCTGCTCTTTTTCACATTCTTTCCCCATATACGGTTGTTACAAGATGTGGACTCGATTTCCCTGTGCCGTACCGTAGTAGCTCCTTGTTTGTCTAATATTTTCCATCTAGTCCTGTGTATCTGTTCATCCCAAACTCCTCATTTAACCCTCCCCCAACCCTTTCCCCTTCGGTCACCCTGAGTTTGTTATCTGTGCCTCATCCTGATTTGGAAAAGCGTCAGGAAAAAGACACGTCGAAGGAACGTATTTTGGCACGCTTTTCCATCTGCCTTCACCTGCGTGTGTGTGTGTGTGTGTGTGTGTGTGTGTTCTCTGGGGTGACTCATTCCAGGAACGATGGTCGGTCACGCTCATCGAAGGACAATTCAGGGGCAGGTTACGCTTCTTGTCATTAAGTTGCTGAGTCGTGTCCGACTCTTTGCCACCCCATGGACCGCAGCACGCCAGGCCTCCCTGTCCATCACCATCTCCCGGAGCTTGCTCAAACTCATGTCCATCAAGTCGGTGATGCCATCCAACCATCTCATCCTCTGTCGTCCCCTTCTCCTCCCACCTTCAACCTTTCCCAGCATCAGGGTCTTTTCCAATGAGTCAGGTCTTCACATCACGTGGCCAAAGGATTGGAGTTTCAGCTTCAGCATCAGTCCTTCCAATGAATATTGAGGACTGATTTCCTTTAGGATGGACTGGTTGGATCTCCTTGGAGTCCAAGGGACTCTCAAGAGTATTTTCCAGCCCCACAGTTCGAAAGCATCAATGCTTAGGTGCGCTCAGCCTTCCTTATGTTCCAGCTCTCACGTCCGTGCGTCACTCCTGGACGAACCACAGCTGTGACTGTATGTAGCTTTGTCGTAGAGTGAAGTGATGCCGTGTGTGTGCGCAAATTTAACTTGACCATTCCAGAGGAGTGTCTGTCGCCTGGCGTCTCGTAGGGTATCGAGTCGTCCGACCTGCCTGCCTGCCGTTCCTGGCGGGGGGATCCGTGGTTGCTGAGCACGCCTCTCCCCACTCTCTGCCATCCGCATGCAGGGACAGGGACGTTCGGGCGTGTGCAGCTAGTCCAGGAGAAGACGAGCAAGCATTTCTTCGCTCTGAAGGTGATGACCATCCCCGACATCATCCGCCTGAAGCAGGAGCAGCACGTCCACAACGAGAAGTCGGTGCTCAAGGAAGTCAACCACCCGTTCCTGGTCAAACTGTGAGTCCTTTGCTCCGGGTCCCCTCCCGCCCGCGGACCCGGCGTGTTCCCGGCGGGCCCTGACACACCTCAAGCTCCCCATCTTACCTGAGGAAGGCTGCTGTTCCCACCAAGTGCCTGCCCAAGGTCGGCGGGGGGAAGGGATGCCTGGCTGGCCCCGGCAAGATATCCACGTGGGCTCCCCGCCTCCCATCGCCAGAGCTCTCATCTCCTGGGTTTTCCTGGGACCTCAGTCACCCGCTCACTCTGCTCAACCCCATGCTCTCTGGGGTGTCTCGTGGACTCTCCAGTGTCCTCTTCTCCGATAGATTCTGGCCTCATCCAGTTGATGGTGCCCATCATGCAGTGGATACACTCCTCTCTCTCCCAGGCTCTTTAAAGTTTATTACTTGATTCATGATTTAGGGGCTGAGGTGCATCTTTGTTGGGCTTCCCAGGTGTTGCTAATGGTGAAGAACCCCACCTACCAGTGTAGGAGAGACAAGAGATGCAGGTTCCATCTCTGGGTTGGGAAGATCCCCTGGAGGAGGGCGTGGCGACCCACTCCAGTGTTCTTGGGCTTCTCTGGCAGCTCATAGGGGACAGAATCTGCCTGCGATGTGGGAGACCCAGGTTCAGTCCCTGGGTGGGGAAGGTCCCCTGGAAAAGGGCATGGTGACCCACTCCAGTATCCTGGCCTGGAGAATCCCCACGGACAGAGAAGCCTGGGGTGGGGCGGGCTACAGTCCATGGGGTCGCAGAGAGCCGGACACGACGGAAGCGACTGAGCCCGCGGGCACGGTGACTTTTGAGATGCCCTTCCGTCCATCATCCCAGCACAGTGACCCGCAGTGGAAGATGGGGTGCCACCCACGTGGTCAGCCCAGGATCACCCCTCCGCTGCGATGCTTGCCTCCTCCGCCCTGCCCCTCACCTCCTCCGGCCTCAGCCACCCACACCCGCCTTTCTTCCGCGATCCACCCGCCCGGGCGTGCAGACACAGGACCATTTACTGTGGTCTCAGAGCATCTTGCGTGTCTCCCCCCCTCCGCCCCCACGCACGGACAAAAACACCCGTAAAGGCAAAACCACTGGACCAGCGTCTCGAGACGAGTTGGGACATGTTTGATGGGAGACAGAAGGGAGCAACTGGCTTTTTTTGTGTGTCTGACTTTCCTTTTACGGAGCCAAAGAGCAGTCTGGGGTCCCTGTGGCCGGGTCACTAGAGTCTCATGTTCTGTCTGTGGCCAAGGCATTCTCACATGATTTAGGAGAACTGGCTTGAGGCTTTTTTTTTTCTTTTTTTTTTTTTAACCAAATACAGGAAGTCCTCAAACCAGAAACCCAGGGTGTGTCCCCAACGGTGCTTTGTGACCCAGTTTTCCCAGGAAGACAGGCGTCCTGGTGGCCAGATTCCTGTTTGTTCTGGAGACGTAGTGAGTGGTCTGTTGAGCTGCTCTGGTAGCTTATGTGATGGTTAGAGAATCTGCCTGCGATGGAGGAGACTCAGGTTCAATCCCTGGGTCGGGAACAAGAGAAGGAAAGGCAACCCACTCCAGTGTTCTTGCCTGGAGAATCCCATGGACAGAGGAGCCCGGCGGGCTATGGTCCATGAGGTCGCAAAGAGTCGGACAGGACTGAGTGACGTAACACTTAGACGGAAGAGAGGCAGATAGACTTGATGGTCAGTAGGAAAAGTCCGAGGTGATGTTGTTGAGCAGACTAAAGTTTGCAAAAGAGGCAAGAAGCCGGCGAGAGAAGCTCTTTTCAGGGCTGGGGGTGGCGGGGTGGAGATGCTGAGTTGACCTTGTTGTGTGTGTTCTGGGCTCAGGAAACATTAGGGTGATGCTCTTGTGAATCTTGGGCTGGGGGGGGCTTCCAGCTCTGGGTATTCCACCTCTTTGTGGGTTTAATTGTGTCTGCCTCCCAAAAAGATGGGTCTTCCTTGGTGGCTCAGACGGTAAAGAATCTGCCTGCAATGCAGAGGACCTGGGTTCGATCTCTGCGTCGGGAAGATGCCTGGAAGACGGAATGTCAACCCACTCCAGTACTCTTGCCTGGAGAATCCCCATGGACAGAGGAGCCTGGCAGGTGACAGTCCGTGGGGTCACAGAGAGATACATATGACTGAGCAACTGGCATCCAAGCCCAGAAACATGCCATAAGTCCCCGTGAAAGTGACCTTGTTTGGAAATTGGGTCATTGCAGGTAGAATTAAGTTGTTGAGGTGCTGTAGAAATGTGTTGTTCATCCAACTTGATGGGTGGCCTTATACCAAGAGGCCTAGCTCGGGAAGATCCCCAGGAGAAGGCAATGGGAACTTTTCCCTGTAATTTAGTCTACATAGCTGTCCCTCTATGTGTGTCTGTGTCCTGACCTCCTCCTTCTGTATGGACCCCAGTCCTATGGGATCGAGACCCTCGCTAGTGACCTCATTCGGCCTTCATGCTCTCTTTGAAGACCCATCTCCTAACACAGCCATATTGTTAGGTCCTGGAGGGGTTAAGCAGTTCAACATACGGGTTTGGGATGATGCAGACAGTAAAAAAAAAAAAAAATCTGCCTGAAATGGCAGGAGATGCGGGGTTCCATCCCTTGCTTGGGAAGACCCCCTGGAGGAGGAAATGGCAACCCACTCCAGTATTCTTGCCTGGAGAGAGTCCCATGGACAGAGGAGCCTGGTGGGCTACAGTCCATGGGGTCCCAAAGAGTAGGACATGACCGAGCGACTGATACTTTCACCATCCAGCCCAGAACACCAGCTTACTGACTTGCCAAGTGCAGGTCTTTTAGCCCATAAGGGTGTTGTTTTAAGGACCTTGAGGCTTGGGATGTTTTCCATGGCTCTTCACTTCAGAGACCAGGTTGTGTTTGAAAACTGTGATTGCGTCGATCCAGGGCCGGCAGGCTCTGGATGCGCCCCCATACAGAGCAGCGGGGAGAGGGGTCTGTGTGACCAGCCCTGGGAACAGACGGCAGGGGACGCCCACGGCCACGGGGTGGAGCACGCAGTTGAGTGGGCAGAAACCGGGAGGCGAGCAGGTGTTGAATCCTCCCAGCTACGCAGTTTTCTCTTGGAAGGAGTCACTTCTCCCAACATCTGCCTTTTCAAACACTGTCCACAAACCCCTAGTGGGGTTTTCCTTGCATTTACATGAAGCTGCGTGGAGCCCGGAAGATCACGGTGAAGAAAGACTCCAGTTTGAACTTTCTCTTGAGTGGTTTGGCATGTTTGCTCGGGGTGTTATCAGCAAGTTTGTGATTTGAAGTGCTACTGGTTGCATTTTTCTGAAAACCAGCCAGGAGGTTCATTACATAGATAATCAGATGACACTTCTCTGTTCTGAGATAAAGCCATTCCGAAGGTCAGTGCAGCCTGTGGAGAGATAATTTTAGAAGAGCTGACTAACTCAGTGGCCAGGGTGTAGAAGGATTGTGACGCTGTCAAGATTTCCCAGGGGAGGAAGGTTTCGGTCCTGTCTGAAGAACGCAACCCTGTGTCTGCTCTCTGTCCTTCCTGCCGTACAGAAATTGCTGGCATCAAAGAGTGGGACCTGGAAAAGGGGCAGCCCACTCCAGTATCCTTGCCTGGAATCCCATGGTCAGAGCAGCCTGGTGGGCTACAGTCCATGGGGTCGCAAAGAGTCTGACACGGCTGAGCGACAAACACTTTCTGTTCTTTCGAGAGTGGCACCGGGACAGGTGTTCTCAGCACTGCTGACATTTTTAGGACTTAAGCCCAGGAGGCAGCATCTCTATTAATCCTGAGAATTGCTCTGAGGAAGCAGGACGGGGTGGAGGGAGCAAGGTTATATAGAGGTTTTGCAACAGAGAGCAGGTCATGTCAACGTCAGAAGATGATTCTTAATGAAAGAAATCAGATATCCGAAGTTAAGGAATTCAGTGCTTTTCTATGTATGGATGTGAGAGTTGGACTATAAAGAAAGCTGAGTGCTGAAGAGTTGATGCTTTTGAACTGTGGTGTCAGAGAAGACTCTGAAGAGTCCCTTGGACTGCAGGGAGATCCAACCAGTTCATCCTAAAGGAAATCAGTCCTCAATATTCATTGGAAGGACTGATGCTGAAGCTGAAACGCCAATCCTTTGGCCACCTCATACGAAGATCTGGAAAAGACCCTGATGCTGGGAAAGATTGAAGGCAGGAGGAGAAAGGGATGACAGAGGATGAGATGGTTTGATGGCATCACCGACTCAATGGACATGAGTTTGAGCAAGCTCTGGGAGTTGGTGATGGACAGGGAGGCCTGGTGTGCTGCAGTGTATGGGGTCGCAAAGAGTCAGACACGACTGAGCGACTGAACTGAACTGATGTGTAGGAAGATGCCAAGAATCTGGACTCACTGAAGCCATTCCTTTATTCTGCATCTCAGCTACCTGGGGCCAGCATCCTGTGTGTTCACCTCCTGAGTTTCCTCAGGGCTCACCGTGGGGAGTGGCTGCAGTCTGATGGCTGCTAGAAGGCAGGTGTTCTTTCCTGACTCCCCTTAGGACCTATCACTCGTGAATGTGACATCCTTGGTTTACTGATAAAGCTGGAAATAATTCCATTTCTCACGAGTTTCCATAGAGGTTCATTGTGCAGGGTCATCAGTCAGGTGTCATTGGGACCCTAGAAGACATTTCCCCATCAGAAAAGCCCTCTCTGAGTGCTAAGCTCTCCCGTAAAAGAACAGCGAGGCTGTCATTCCTTTGGGATACTGTGTGCTTCTGTTTGAGCATCATGGCAAGGAACAGGCTGGCTAGACTGAGACATGTCATGATGTGAGCCAGAGAAGGAGTGCATGCAGCCCAGAGAAAGAGACTTGTCTCGATTATAAATGATGGAAAAAAGACGGGCGTCTGGTCACCTGGTTTCTCTAGACAGTGATGCCAGGGAGGAAGACATGTTCCTGACCTTCCAGGCTTTTCTGGCTGGTCTAGGAATGACATGGATGTGAGACAGATGAACCAGGAGAAAAAGCACACAAAAATTTAATCTCACATATACATGGGAGAGAGCTATGAAAATGGCCCAACGTGTAGCCTGCATGTTCAGTTGTGTCCCGGCTCTTCGTGACCCCCATGGACTGTAGCCTCGCCAGGCTCCTCTGTCCATGGGATTTCCCAGGCAAGAATCCTGGAGTGGGTTGCCATTTCCTCCTCCAGGGGATCTTCGCAACCCAGGGATCGAAGCCGCGTCTCCTGCATCGGCAGGCAGACTCTTTACTATTGAGCCAGTTGGGACTCCCCACATGGCCCTAACCCTCCCCTTAAATACCGTCTTCAGCTGAAGACAAAAGAGGATGTTGGGGGTAGTGGTTTGAGATATCAAAGAGGAGGAAGGGCAGTTGATATAGAGACAGATACAAAACGAAAGTTTTATAAATAAATGTTTGCTGGGCCAGGAGAGACCTAGAGACCTAGCGTGAACTCTGGCCTCCAGGCTCTGTTCACCCCACCACAGGGGGCCCCGTATCCTATGCAGACATCTCTGCTGAAACTGGAGATTCCAGGACCAACTCCTCTATCTACGTTCTTTTAGGCAGTTCAGGGAGAAGGTCCAAGTTTTCTCTGGACTCTGCTTGACTTTTTCTTGGTTGTTTTCAGCTGGAGATAATCTGCATGCTAGAGAGATACTGGGGGAGGGCAGGTTTTGTTCCTTTTCCAGTAACAAAAGCCACAAACCACCCCCACCCCACCCCAAGCCCTCTTCCTGCCCCGTGTCTTCCGTCACATCTCAACACTGCAGATCTCAAGCCTTGATACTGGGAGCGGGACAAAGATACACAGGAACTGGGGAAAGAGAAACCCCTGGAAGTGGCTGCCACCGTGCTTCCTAAAGACGCGGGTCCCTGGGTAGCCCTAGCCGCAAGAGGCAGAAATCTAGCAATGCAGAAAGAAAGGCATTTGTAGGAGTGTAACAACGTGACGTTAGTATATCACTTAGCATGCAGCCCTCAATGTGCATCACTACGCTACACCGTCACTAGGCAACAGGTCCCGCTCAGCCGTTGGTCAGCTCTGCAGCAGCCCCGCCTACAAGCAACCAACGGTCCATTAGCGACCCTTAGCGGTCCTGCTCAGGCATGGGTTGAGGCCTCAGTGGGCTTAGCCCACTGGCGACCAGCTATGAATGAGCGCCCATCAGTGGTCCCGCTCAGCCATTGGTCGCTGCTGCAGAAGGACCCGCCCAGAGACAATCGTCAATAAGCGACCCTTAGTGGTCCTGCCCAGCCATTGGTTGATGCTTCATGAGCTCCGCCCACTGACAACCAACTGCCAATGAGCAACCATTAGTGGTCCTGCTCAGCCATTGGTTGGCACCTCAGAAGGCCCCGCCCACAAGCAACCAACTGCCAATGAGCAACCGTTAGTGGTCCTGCTCATCTAGTGGACAGCACCTCAGTGGGCCCCGCCCACAAGCTACTGGCAATGAGCAACCCTTCTTGGGTCCACTCAGCCATTGGTCGACTCTGCAGCGGGCCCCGCCCACAAGCAGCCAGCTGCCAATGAGCGACCCTTAGAGGTCCTGGTCAGCCATTGGTCGGCAGAGCAGTGGCCTGTGAAGCCAAGCATCAGTGAACAGCCCTTAGTTATGCTGCTTAGTCATTGGACGGTACTGCAGTGGGCCCCGCCCACAAACAGCCAACTGCCAATGAGTGACCGTTAGTGGTTCTGCTCAGCCATTGGACAGCACCGAGTGGGCCCCGCCCACAGGCCAGCAGCTGTCATTCAATGATCGCGCCTTAGTGAGGGCCTTCATCCAAAGGTGTGTGGACTGGTGGTCATCGGGTGGACAGAGAGCGCAGACGTGGGTCCTGGCCTTCCCCTGGGGGCCCTCCAGCTCACCCAGCCTTGGTCCAGCGGGAGAGCCCGGAGCGCCCAGAGAACAGGCTGCGGGCTTTGGCTTGGGCGGGGGTTGGGGGGGGGTCCAGGGTGCTTGCCCCAGCCACCCACTGGCTGGACCCGGGGCTTCAGGCCGCGGTGACCCTCTCCCCCATCCTTGGGTCTGTGATATAACTACAGCGGGCGTCTGTCCTAGCTACCCTGCAGTCAGGGACCCCCATGGGACCTCGTCTCCCCAACCTGGGCACCCTAGAAGCCTGGGGGGTCTCCCTCCATCCCTGGGTCTGTGATATAACTACAGCGGGCGTCTGTCCTAGCTACCCTGCAGTCAGGGACACCCATGGGACCTGTCTCCTGTCCATATGGGCACCCTGAGAAGCCTGGGGGTCTCTGCCCATCCTTCCGTCCATGATCTAACTAGAGCGGGCGTCTCTCCTAGCTACCCTGCAGTCAGGGACCCCAGTGGGATCTCGTCTCCCCAACCTGGGCACCCTAGAAGCCTGGGGGTCTCCCTCCATCCCTGGGTCTGTGATATAACTACAGCGGGCATCTGTCCTAGCTACCCTGCAGTCAGGGACCCCCATGGGACCTGTCTCCCCCATCTGGGCCTGAGAAGCCCAGATGGTCTCCGCCCATCACTGTGTCCATGATCTCACTACAGCAGGCGTCTGTCCTGGCTCCCGTGCAGTCAGGGATCCCCATGGGAGCTCATCTCCCCCGATCTGAGCTCCCTGAGAAGCCCGAGGGTCAGTTCAGTGATGACAGCTGGGCAGGGTCTGGGGATCTGTCCCTCAGGGAGCTGCCCGCTGAGCTCTGGCCCTTCTGAGCCAGGCCTGGGACCCTGGAGGGTGAAACCTGTGCCTGGGGACCTGGCCCTTTCTTTTCAGAGCAGAGACTCTAACGTGTCTGGTAGAGATTTAGCGGAACATTGTTCGCTGACCGTGACGTGACCTCAAGAGCAAAGGATGTGTGTCCGTGTGAATGTGCTCGGTCGTGTCTGACTCTTTGTGGCCCCGTGGACTGTCACCCCGCCAGGCTCTTCTGTCCATGGGATTCTCCAGGCAAAAATACTGGAGTGGGTTGCCATGCCCTTCTCCAAGGGATCTTCCTTGGAGATCCCCCGTGACCCAGGGATCAACTTGTGTCTCCTGCATTGCAGGCAGATTCTTCACCCCTGAGCCACTTAGGAAGCCTGAGTAAAGATTCTGAAATCAAGAAGTTGGCAACAGCTAACCATGTCCACCCTTCACCTTCCACACAAAAGGGCTTTGGTGAAAGCTTGCAGTAACTGTGTTTCTTAAGGCGTGAAGCACCCTTCTCCTTGCGCAGCCCTGTAACAAACTTTTCTGTGTTCCAAACTCCAGTATTCTAGTATTGTTTGGTCTCACTGGGTATCAAGCAAATGATCTTGCATTTATGGTAACAGCTCCATCTGAGCACAGCAGCCTCCCCAAGTTACCCAGGTGGTAAAGAATGCCGCTTGCCGATGCAGGAGACGCAGGTTCAATCCCTGGGTTGGGAAGATCCACTTGCAGAAGGGAATGGCAACCCACTCCAGGCTCCTTGCCTGGGAAGTCCCGTGGACAGAGGAGCCTAGAGGGCTACAGTCCGTGGGGTCGCAAAGAGTCAGCCATGACTGAGTGACTTAGCACACATACTTTCCTGACCACTGCACTTGATTACTTGTGATTTCCCTTCCAGTTATGTTTTGGGTCATTGCAAGCGATCTCATCCAGCGCTTCGTCTCTATATTGATCACACTTTACTATAGGCAGACCTCAGAGATACAGTGGGTTTAGCAGTAGAGCCCGTCAGTAACGCAGATTAGTGCCGTAAAGCAAGTCACAAGAGGTTTTAGGTTTCCCAGTGCGTCTAGAAGTTTTGTTTAGGGGACTTTGTCATTCTTTTTTAGATTCCACGTATAAGTAATATCATACAGTATTTCTGTGATTCTGTCTGGCTTCACTTAGTAGGATCATCTCTTTCTTATGGGTACATTTTCCAGGGCTGTATCTTATACAGTTGTATTTATTCCAGTATATGGAGAAGGGAATGGCAACCCACTCCAGTATTCCTGCCTGGAAAACCCCGTGGACGGAGGAGCCTGGCAGGCTACAGTCCATGGTGTTGCAAAGAGTCGGACACGTCTGAGCGACTTCACTTTTCACGACGTGTATACACAGCGCGTATGCGTGTCTGTGACTGTGTGTGTTGTCCAGCGCTTCGTGGGCCCAGGGACTGCAGCACCCAGCTTTCCCATGACTGAGGGCCTTGTGCTGGCTGCTGAATCTGCCAGTCTGTTCTGTTCTTCTCTCTCTCTCTCCAACACCTCTGTCACCTCTGCGTAGAGTCTGTCACCCTCCTATGTAATGAAAACAGGACCTGCAGAACCAACGAAGTTGTTGTTCAGTGGCTCAGCCATGTCTGAGTCTTTGCGACCCCGTGGTCTGCAGCACCCCAGGCTTCCCTCTCCTTCACCAACTCCCAGAGCTGGCTCAAACTCATGTTCATCCAGTCAGTATGCCATCCAACCATGTCATCCTCTGTCGTCCCCTTCTCCTCCCGCCCTCAATCTTTCCCAGCATCAGGGTCTTTTCCAAGGAGTCAGCGCTTCGCATCAGGTGGCCAAAGTATTGGCTGGTGCTTCAGCTTCAGCATCCGTCCTTGCAATGAATATTCAGGACCGATCCCCTTTAGGATGGACTGGTTGGGTCTCCTTGCAGTCCAAGGGGCGCTCAGGAGTTTTCTCCAGCACCACAGTTGGAAAGCATCCACTCTCAGACGCTCAGCCTTCTGTCTGGTCCAGCTCTCACATCCATACGTGACTGCTGGGCAGCCCCTGTGGCTGTATCTTCACGTGACCTGTTCACGCACCAGGCCTCCGTCCTCTCCCCACCTCAGCCTCTGTCCGGCCGGCCGGCCGAGGCGCGGCGCTCGGTCTCACTGTGACCCCTCCGCGCGTCCCCGGTGCAGGTTCTGGACGGGCCATGACGACCGCTTCCTGTACATGCTGATGGAGTTCGTGCCGGGCGGCGAGCTCTTCAGCTACCTGCGGACCCGCGGCCGCTTCACCAGCAACACCGGGCTGTTCTACGCGGCCGAGATCGTCTGCGCCATCGAGTACCTGCACGCCCGGGACATCGTCTACAGGGACCTGAAGCCGGAGAACATCCTGCTAGACAGGGACGGCCACGTCAAGCTCACCGACTTCGGGTTCGCCAAGAAGCTGGTGGACAAGTGAGTGACCGCTGCTCTCCCCCGTGTGCCCCCTCCCCCCACCCTCTGCCTGGGGCAGCCTCCACTGTGTCCTCTCTGCTGGGAGCGCCTTTCTGATGAGATTCCGCGTCTCGGCAGAAGTGACGGGCGGCTTCTCTGGTGCCTCAGAGAGTAAAGAATCCGCCTGCAATGCGGGAGACCTGGGCTCCATCCCTGCCTGGGTCGGGAAGATCCCCTGCAGGAGGGCATGGCAATCCACTCCAGCATTCTCGCCTGGTGAATTCCATGGACAGGGGAGCCTGCAGGGCCATAGTCCAAGGGGTCACAAAGAGTTGCACATGATTGAGCATGCACACACAGCAATATATGTATAGATACACGTGCGGTTTCCGTGGTGGCTCAGAGGTAGATATTCCACCTGCCACCAGGAGACTCGGGGTCGATCCATGAGTCGGGAAGATTCCCCTGGAGAACGGAATGGCAACCCTCTCCAGTGTTCTTGCCTGGAGAATCCCATGGACGGAGGAGTGTGAAGGGCTACAGTTCATGGCAGAGAGTTGGCCATGACTGAGCAACTAACACTCACCCTTATAAACGTTATCGTATAGTATTTGTCTTTATATGACAGACTTCCGTCTGTACGTCCATCCATATAGCTGCAGGTGGCATTCTTTCATTCTTTTTCATGGCTGAGTAGTATTCCATTGCGCATATGTACCACATCTCCTTTATCCCTTCCTCTACTGATGGACAGTGTGGAAGTTTTCACGCCTTGGCTATTGTCTGTAATAAGGATGATGAGGTTTTAAGAGGTAGAGGTGTGTTATTTTGCCCCCACAAGCCCAGGACAATCTTAGAGACAGCCCCAGTGTCTGGAGGGTCCCCCAGTCTTACAGAGAGCCCCAGGGTCCCGTCCTTCTGACAGTCCTTGGGGTCACAAAGAGTCGGACGCAGCTTAGCACGCAGAGGAGCATGCAGTACTGTGTTTCTTGAGGACAAAGACGTGTGTTCCCTTCCTCTGCGTGATTTTACTATTTAATGTCCTAAGGTTGCTATCAAGAGCATTGCGGTCCAAAACAAGTTCAACACAGACCTCCTGTATTATTCCACATTTTTAAGGAGCTGTGTTTCAAAAAGTCAGACCAGGTGTACATGATTTCATTCACAAGCTGGTTTAATTCAGGATGTCCCAGATGGGACCATTTCAGCATATTGTCCATATCCACATCAACAGACTCTCTGTGAATATTTTTTGTCCACACCACATGGCATGTGGGATCTTGGTTCTCCAATCAAGGATGGAACCTGCGTGCCCCCTGCTTTGGAAGCGTGGGGTCTGAACCGCTCGACCTCCAGGGAAGTCCCCCGTGAATCGTTGGTACTCAGGTTTTGAAATTCCAAACACTTTTTCTCCTGTGGTGTATCTTTAAGGAGGGCACTGATATTTCCCATCAGAAACTCTAGATGTGTGTTTATTGCCCTTGATGTTTGAAACGGTTGGAAAGAAAGCAGATTCATGTCCGTTTTTCAGTCCACGCATTGAGTGCGGGTTGTTACATTTAAATTCAAATTAAAACCGGGTTAGAATTTCACTCTTTACAGTGAAAGTGCAGCTGGTGACTCCCGTATCAGAAGCTAGATCTGGAACAAATACCCATGGCGTCTATACCTGTGACGAATTAGGGTTGGTTCACGTGAGAACTGTTCCTCACGTTGCAGAAACATTTTATGGCAAACAGCTGGGGAGCAGTTTTACATGAAACGAAATCAGTCCGAGAGGAAATTAATCCTGAATAGTTATTGGAGATGAGTCCTGGATATTCATTGGAAGGACTGATGCCGAAGCTGAAGCTCCAATACTCTGGCCACATGATGTGAAGAGCTGACTCACTGGAGAAGACGCTGATGCTGGGAAAGATCGAGGGCAGGAGGAGAAGCGGACGACGGAGGATGACACGGTTGGGTGGCATCTCCGACCCGACATGAGTTTGGGCAAGCTTAGGAGTTTCATGGACAGGGAAGCCTGGCGTGCTGCAGTCCACGGGATCGCAAAGAGTTGGACACGACTGAGCGACTGAACTGAACTGATTTACATTAAATAACTCATGTCTGATGGCTTTTAGACAGGGGCCATCCTGGGGTTACTTTTTCTGATGCAGTTAAAAGTCAGTGTCATCTTCCCCTATAGAATTTCATCACTTACCATGGCTGAGAATAAAGTGGGGTGGTTTGTGTCTCAGCTGGGAAAGAATCCGCCTGCAGTGCGGGAGACCTGGGTTCAGTCCCTGGGTGGGGAAGATCCCCTGGAGAAGGGAAACGCTACCCGCTCCAGTATTCTGGCCTGGAGAAGCCCATGGACTGTGTAGTCCACAGGGTCGCAGAGTTGGACACAACTGAGTGATTTTCACTTTCAGTTCATGTAGAAGCGTGCAGGTAGCTTTAAACACTGGTTTTATTCTGTGATAGCGGTGATGCCACCTATTGGCAGTCTTGGGTATAAAGTCCACCCTTTTTAAAAAAAAAAAATGGTCTTCATTGCTGTACTTAGGTGGCTCAGCTGGTAAAGAATCCGGCTGCGATGCAGGAGACCCCGGTTCAATCCCTGGGTCGGGAAGATCCACTGGAGAAGGGACAGGCTCCCCACTCCAGTATTCTTGGCTTCCCTTGTGTCTCAGCTGGTAAAGAATCTGCGTGCAGTGCGGGAGACGTGGTTTCCATCTCTGGATCAGGAAGATCTCCTGGAGGAGGGCGTGGCAACCCAGTCTAGTGTCCTTGCCTGCAGAATCCCACGGCCAGAAGGAGCCTGGCGGGCTGCAGTCCATCGTGTCGCAAAGAGTCGGACAGGACTGAGCAGATCACACAGGTCTTTGTCTGGTTGTGGCGAGCAGGGCCCCTCTCTGGTTGGGATCCGAGGGCTTCTGCAGTGGCCTCTCCCGTTTGTGGAGCGCGGGCTCTAGAGCGGGCTCGCTCACGATGGCACGCGGGCTTTCCACTGCCCCGAGTCATCTGCGATCTTCCTGCAGCAGGGATGGGACCCAGGGACAAGGCGAGGAATCGGGGGTGATGATTACCTGTGACCACCCCCACTGGTAGATTCCCAATCTCTGAACTTCCAGGGAAGGCCACTTTTCTTTTGAATCAATTAATTTTATTTTTAAAAATTTTACTTATTTATTTTTGCTTCTACCAGTTTATTGCTACCAACCCGTCTCCCTGAACCCTCGTGCACGCACGCTTAGTCAGGTAACCCCATGGACTGCAGCCGCCAGGCTCCTTTGTCCGTGGACTTTTCCAGGCAGGATTACTGGAGTGGGTGGCTGTTCCCTTCTGCACAATTGATTTTTTAACTGAAGGACAGTTGCTTTACAGAATTTCATTCTTTTAAATTTATGTATTTTTAGTTGAAGGATAATACCCTGTAGTCTTGTGTTGCTGTCTACCAAACATCCACACGAACGTCCTGTTTTTTCTTTTTTCCAAAGTCATTTTGTTTGGAAGCCTGATGCCAGCAAACTGTCAGTAAAATGCTTCACAGATGCGCTGGGTGATAACTTTGCCCGACCATCACCGGTTCACAGCTGAGAAATCTGTGGTTCTGAGAGGTGAGACGGTCTGCCCACCTCCCCACAGTTGCCAAGCGATAGTGCTTTATGAGCTTCAGGTTAAGTTTATTTCCGTTACCAAGAGCCTCTGTTAATGGAAGCACGTCAGAGGGGCAGTGAGGCGTGAAGTGCAGCCACGGGGACCACTTGTATGCCTTGGACTTGTGTTTTTGCCCATTTCCAGCAGGTCGGATTGAGTGTGCTGTAGTTTGTGGTCATGCTGTGTTCCCTTGCGTTGCTTATCTCATTTGTGACATGAGAGTTGTTCCTACCGTGTAGGGTGACAGGTAAGGATGGATGGATCAGCTCATTGGAAAGTCTTTCCTAAAAACAGTTCCAATCAGGTAGTGAACGTCGACTAGAAAGTCAGTGCGTCTCAGTTTATCACGTCCACCCTCACGGCACCAACATCATCTCCATAATTGTCACCTTCACTTTCATCACTGCTACCAGCATCATCAGCATCAGTACCATTATCAGTATCACCACCATCATCACTGTCAACATCACCACCATCATATCAATATCACCATCAACATCACCACCATCCTCATCGTCACCACCATCATCACATCAATATTACCACCATCGTCACCGTCAACATCAGCACCATTGTATCAGTATCACCATCATCATGTCACTATCACCACCATCATGTCAACATCACCACCATCATCATTAATATCACCATCAACATCACCACCATCATTATTGTCATCACCATCACCATCACCACCATCAGTATCGTCACCCATCATCATGACTACCATCGTGATCTCTCCTTTGCTCTGGACTGCATTTATGTTCCTCCAGAATCCATGTCTTAAAGCTCTACCCCCACCCCCCACCCCCCACTGTGGCTTTATTTGGAGATAGTCTTGTTTCCAGGGAAATTAAGGTCAGGCGACATCATGGCAGTGCGGTCTTAAAACTACAGGACGTGTGACCCTGTGAGACATTTGTTACCGCCCCCAGTTCTGGAAGTCCACGATCAGCCTGCTGGCTGACCTGAGTTCCTGATGCCGGTCTCTTCCCGGCTCATCCTCACCGTGTCCTCCCGTGGTAAAGAGAAATCTCTGTCCACCTCTCTCTTCTAACAGGGACACGAATCACGGGGTTAGTCCCAATCTTCTCTTGATTGCATCTTGCAAGACCCTGTTCCAAGCAAGATCACATTCACGGGTACCTAAGGCTTTCGTTAGGACTTTTGGGTTGAACACAGCTCATCCCAGTATGGCTGCCATGGTGGGCACTTGGGAATATGAACGTAGCACCAGCTGGACGTCTGTTTTCCAGAGCAACCTCTCTCTCCTTGGATAACAGCCTCCTACCCCGTGAATGTGTCAGTCGCTTGGTCGTGTCCGACTCTTTGCGACCCCGAGGACTGTAGCCCCGCCAGGCGCCTCCGTCCATGGGATTCTCCAGGCAAGAATACTAGAGTGGGTTGTCATTTCCTTCCCCATGGACTGTAGCCCACCAGGCTACTCTGTCCATGGGATTCTCCAGGCAAGAATACTGGAGTGGGTTGCCGTGCCCTCTTCCAGGGCATCTTCCTCACCCAGGGATCGAACCCGGGTCTCCCGCATTGCAGGCAGATGCTTTACTGTTTGAGTCTCCCGGGAAGCCCCCTGTCATAGTGGAAATGCTAACACTGAGAAAAGTAACACCGGTGGGTATCACCTTGCCTTCTCTCCACGAGCTGAGTGAGTGAAAAAGAACACCAGAGCATCGATAATTCACAGCCTGGACCAGCACTTTTCCACCAGCATCGAAAGCTGTTTCTGTCTTTGGCTTTCCATATTTCCTGCAATCAGAAGCTTGTTTCTAACAGTGTATGCCTCCGTGCCCAAGAGGATTGGGAAAATTTTTTAAGTATAAAGAGAGAATTCTCTTAAAAGAAGAAGACAAGTCTTTCTGCTTTTCAGTAACTGCTATGAACGTGGGTGTACACAAGTCTGTTCAACTGCCAGCTTTCCGTTTTCTTTGGGGATATTAACTGAGGACTGACATTTCTGGGCCTTGTGGAAATTCTGTTGTAATGTTTCGCTAAACTGCAATACTGCTTTGAGATGTAAACTTTTAAGAAATTTTGCTGCATTCTGGAGCTCTTTCAAGAAAATTTATGCCTCTCTAGCTCCCAGGAAGCCTGGAGCCTTTCTGGAAAAAGGTTTTGCTTCAAACAGATATGGAGAAGGAAATGGTAACCCACTCCAGTATTCTTGCCTGGAAAAGTCCATGGATGGGGAAGCCTGGCGGGCTACAGTCCATGGGGTTACATGACTGAGCATGTGTGCCTGAGGTTGGAGGGAGATGGGTTGGTAGCAATAAATTTGTTAGCACTAAAAAAAGGAAAAAGGTGTCAGGCTATCTGAGTCTACTTGGAAAACTGCTAAGTCATACAGCCTTCGATGTGTGGGCCCCTCACCTGAGGTTGCCGCCAGACAGAGACTCAGCTCTCCGCCTGTAAGCGGAGACACAGGTATAGTTACCTGCTACCGCCTCCAGCTGGTCTGGACCTCACAGCTGAGCCCCAGGCTTGCAGCTGTATTCAGGCAACCTTGGATGTGCCCCCAGGCTGGAAATAGAGCACAAACGGGATCGGACAGCAGAACTAAAGAATTTGGTGAGCCAAAGCAACAAGGTGATGATAGTGGTTTTTTCAAGCTTGCTGGTTGGATCTCCAGCGTTTAGCCCGATGTGCTGTGTTGTTCAGCCGCTGAGTCTTGTCCGACACTTGGAGGCCGCACGGACTGCAGCACGCCAAGACTCCCTGTCCATCACCAACTCCCAGAGTTTGCTCAGACTCACGTCCGTGGAGTCGGTGATGCCATCCAACCATCTCATCCTCTGTCGTCCCCTTCTCCTCTCGCCTTCAGTCTTTCCCGGCATCAGGGTCTTTTCCCTGCTGTCCTCTAGGTGGGGCCAAAAGCTAACTTTTCTGCAGGTCTCAGCTCATCTGGGGGAGAAAATCCAAAATTCTCAGCCCCGTTTCAACCCCAAACATCCCAGAGCCCCTCAGCCCGAGGATTTTTAAAAGCCGCTACTGATGCTGACGGGACAGTGAACCCACAAAAGGTCAGCACACACTTCAGACCTTTTGCAAAGAGGGCAGAAAAGATACTTCACTGATGTTTTGCTTTTCCTCTCGGAGAAGAGAGCCAGCTCGTCTGTTTATAAAGCGGACATACGGGTTCCTGACAGTCACTCCCAGGCACAGCGGGCTTCAGGAGCCAGTGGCTTGAATCTTTTTTCATATCGTTTTATGGGGAATCAGGACTGTGAGGGTTTTGCTTCTGAGCAGCGAAGGGGATCACCAAGAACAGCACACGGCCGTGATAACAGGACTGTGACTTTGAGTCTGTTTTGCTCAATGAGTGTTTATAAAAGGAAGCAGGGCTCCCCTGCTGGCTTAGACCGTGAAGAATGTGCCTGCCAGGGCAGGAGACCCGGGTTTGATCCCTGGGTCAGGAAGATCCCCTGGGGAAGGGAACAGCCACCCACTCCAGTATTCCTACCTGGAGATTTCCAGGGACAGGGGAGCCTGGTGGGCTACAGCCCACGGGGTCGCAGAGAGCTGGACGCGACTGAGTGGCGTTCGTCATTTCGTCTTGATCATAAAAGGAAGAGATAGTCAGGAAAGACAAGGTTACTGTCTTTATGTTCGGGGTGGGACAAAGACAAGGACCTGCTGGGCAGCCCAGGGAACTCTGCTCAATGTCACGTGGCCGCCGGGATGGGAGGGGGGTTTGGGGGGGAAGGGATACATGTGTATGTGTGGCTGAGTCCATTCACTGCCCACCGAAAACAATCACAGCATTGTTCATAGGCTACATGCCAATAAGAAGTAAAAGTTAACCTTAAATTGGAAAAGAAGTGTTTACAAAAGGAAAGAAGTCACAGAGGACAGTGTTGCCATGTTTATCTCCAGGGCTGGGGTCTAAGTCTCTGCGCAGGTTAACTCACTGACGTGAGCTCCCCACTCCTGAGATGCACGCGTCGGGCAATCACAGCTGAGTTCTGTGGACTCCGCCCCCCCTCTTGTCTTCCCACAGGACGTGGACCCTCTGCGGGACCCCCGAGTACCTGGCCCCCGAGGTCATTCAGAGCAAGGGCCACGGCCGAGCGGTGGACTGGTGGGCGCTCGGCATCCTGATATTCGAGATGCTCTCGGGGTGAGTACCGCTTGCGTGGGGAAGATGCCTGCGGCTCCCTGCCCTGTTCGCTTGCTCTGGGGGGGGCTCAGCCCCCGGGATTTGATGCATGGGAGTCAGCGGACGGATATACTTGGATTGGGTTGCCGTGCCTCCTCCAGGGGGTCTTCCCGACCCAGGGATGGAACCCGCGTCTCCTGCATTGCACGCGGATTCTTGCCATCTGAGCCCCCAGGGAAGTCGCGAGCTGGGTAGCGGGCGTGTTGGATAAATAAATCCTCTTTAGGACGTTCGGAAGGAACAGCGTTCCATAAAGGAAAGAGTGTGTTCTTTCCTGAAAACCCCAAACGTGCCTCGGGGGATGTTTGGAATTCTATTGACCTCTCCGGTCCAGATTCCAGAGAGACACACCCTATATCAGCTTGGTTAACCACTCAAGTCTGGCATTTCTGTGAGGTGTTGCTAGGAATTCTGTAAAGAATCTGCCTGCCAGCGCAGGAGAAGAAAGAGGCGGGTTCGATCCGTGGGTTGGGAAGATTCCCCGTGGAGAAGGGGAATGGCAGCCCGCTCCAGTATTCTGGCCTGGAGAATCCCATGGACAGCGGAGCCTGGCGGGGCTTTAGTCCATGGGGTCACAAAGAGTCAGATACGACTCAGCCCGCACGCACACCGTTTCCCCACGGGGCAGGCAGCGCAAGCATCTTCCCGTAGACGTCCGTGGACCCGATGCTTCCTGGCACCCTGCGCTCACCAGGCTCTTTGTTGGAAGCTGCGCTTGGCGGGCAGGCGGGGCGGTGGAGGGAGGGGTGCCCGCCCGGGAGGGGTGCCCGCCCAGGTCTGTCCTCCCCGCCTGCCCCTCCTCCATCCTCTTGCCCTTCTCTCCAGTTCTTCTTTCTCTCTCTCTTTGATCACACGCGTCTGTAGTCAACACACAGACCGAAAAAAGCCCTTCCGTGCACCCCAGCCCAGGAAGTCCTGGTCGGAAACACAGGGCTGAAAGGCATTCCCTATGGTATCAGAAATGCAAGATGTTAAAGAGACGTAAACTGTAAAAAGAAGTGTAAAAGGCTACATCTTTCTGCACCTGTGTTTGATCGGTGTTCCACCCGTGTCCCAGCAACGGGTCAGTTGTTCGTTCTTGAACGTTTCTGACCAGCAGAGGGTAGCGTTGCCTGACCGTTCAATCCCAGCGGCCAGAGCACTTTTACTGGAATGGACTTGCTGTCTCTTCTCTTTTGTCTGTATTATTACAGGGGAAAATACTGTCATTTCACGGAATACAATAATATGGAATATCATAGCAAAGATCATGTTGGAATATAGTGTACGATTGGAACGTATGTTGTTGGAAGATAATGGCATATTATTAGAACATATGGGGCTTCCTTGGTGGCTCAGATGGTAAAGAATCTGCCTGCAGTGTGGGAGACCGGGGTTCGATCCCTGGGTCGGGAAGATCCCCTGGAGAAGGAAGGGACATCCCACTCCAGTATTCTTGCCTGGAGACTCCCATGGACAGAGGAGCTTGGTGCGGTACAGTCCACGGGCTCAGAAAGCGTGGGACATGATTGAGCGGCCAAAGTGTACAACAACCTAAGTACGTTCTGATACTACTGGAGCCTACATATTCTATAGTATGCTAGAACATGCTACAATAGAGATTATTGGAAGAGAGTAGGATTAGAATACACTATTAGGATACACTGCAATGATTATTACATGGTTACTTACCATATCACATGGTTATTCAACCACTTACATGATGGTTATTATGTAAACGTAATGACTGCGTGTCAAATATTCTAATTACACTGTATCCAAATGGTATCTTAATGGGATGTGCGCTATATATGTGCCAAGTATAGCTTCAGTCGTGTCTGCCTCTTTCTGACCCCGTGGACTGTAGCCCACCAGGCTCCTCTGTCCGTGGGATTCTCCAGGCAAGAACACTGGAGTGGGTTGCCTTGCCCTCTTCCAGGGGATCTTCCCGACCCAGGGATCGAACCTGGGTCTTCTGCATTGACAGGCGGATTCTTTACCTTCTTAGCCACCAGGAACGTTGAGGTAGGTCAAAGATGTCTATAAAAAAAAAGATCACAGATAGATGATGGGGGGGGGGGGATGGCAAAATTGGCATGTATTTTTTCGTGTGTGGGGGCGATGGGGTTAGATACTCTGAGGCATGTGGGATGTTCCCGGGTCAGGGCTTGGACCCGTGTCTCCTGAGTTGGCAGGCAGAGTGTTTACCGCTGATCCACCACGGAGGCCCTGCTGTACATTTTTTAAAAAGAACACTTATTTGGCTGAATTGGGGGTCAGCTGTCAGTTGCAGCCCGCCGGCTCTTTCATGGCGGCCTGCAGACCCTCAAGTTGCATTGCTTGGACTCCGTGGATCCAGCACATCAGGCTCACTTGCTCCAAGGTCTTAGATCCTCGACCAGAGATGGAAGCGGCGTCGTCCGTGTCGTGAGGCGGATTCTCAACCACTCTCGCCAGCACAGTTTCCGGCCATGCATCTTTCTAAGATGAAATGCTGGAGCCTGCCTTCGTGGGGAAGTACAGGTGGTCCCTCTGTCTATAGCTCACCACGGCTGACGTCACGATGCAAGTCGTGCCCACGTGTGTGAATGGCACTCACTGCCGGCTTTATTAAGACCTTCGCCATGTTGTCACGTAATTATCCTCCAGTTAAATTAGTCAATTAAAAAAAAATACTTGGAAGGAGGCTTCCCTGGCAGTCCAGTGGTTAAGACGCCGAGCTTCCACTGTGAGATATGTGGGTTCGATCCCCGGTCGGGGAACTGTTACCCCGTATCCCATGTCGTGCAGCCAATAAGTAAATAAAGAAAATTGGGGAAAAAAATTGGAAGGTTTCCGTTGGGTTAAAGATAGACGTTTGAAGATACTTTCAAATCTGGCTGGGCGTCCCTGATAGCTCAGCTGGTAAAGAATCCGCCTGCAATGCAGGAGACCTGGGTTCCATCCCTGGGTCGGGAAGATCCCCTGGAGAAGGGAAAGGCTGCCCACTCCAGGATTCTGGCCTGGAGAGTTCCACGGACTGTGTCGTCCATGGGGTTGCAAAGAGTTGGACACGACCGAGTGAATAAACACACACGTCGGATCTGGGCACCGTCTTTGGCCGCTTTCTGCACTCCGCCGTCTCGGCTATGTCTTCCTTCTGCTTTTTCTCTCCGGCTGGATCTGTGGGCGCTCCCTCGTGATGAGTTTTTTCCGCTCGTTAAAGCTGCTGCTCGCATACCTCTCCCATGACGGTGGCGTATCACGCCAGCTTTCTCGGAGTTCCGTATGCCGTGTTCTCCGGGAGCCCGTGGGGGAGTGTATGACGCGTTTTCTCCCGGGCCCGTCCTTCCATGGAGACCGCCCCGCGGCGTGTCCTCATTCAGAGCCTCCACTCAAGGCAGGAACAGCAACCCCCCGGCCACTGTTGGAACCGGCTTCTGGCTCACGGGCGGAGGCCCGATTCGGGGGTTGGTTCACACGAAGGCGTTCACACTCGGCGAGGACTGGGTGTCTCTGGGCCTGCGTAGGTTCGAGATCCACCGAAGCTGCTTACCCTAGAAGTATAGCTGGCCGGGCTAGTTGTAGTTAAGAGACCGTAGTGGGCTTCCCATGTGGGCTCAGGGGTGAGGACCTTGCCTGCCAAGAGAGGAGATGCAGCAGGTTGGATCCCTGGGCTCAGGAAGATTCCCCCGGAGGAGGAAATGGCAGCCCACTCCGGTGTTCTGGCCTGGAGCATCCCACGGACAGGGGAGCCTGGTGGGCCTACAGTCCACGGGGTTGCAGAGAGGTGGGCACGCCTCAGTGACCGAACAGCCGTCAGCGAGTGGCCACACAGCTGGTCACAAGGGCTCATCACGGTCACTGCCTTTGCTGCGTTTGCCCGCCCTCCGCAGTTGGGACAGAGTGCTCCGCGCTTGGCCCCTGGCAACCATGCCTTCATAGCTGGCCCTGAGGCATCCGTGACTCCCTTGTGAGAGAGGAGAGTGCACGCGGAAAAATAAAATTCTCTTCTGCCCAGGTCAGGCGGAAGGAGCCATCCTTATAAAGCCTGGGTTTCTTCCCCCACTCTGGCCGCTAAAAATAAGCCGTTCTTATGTTTCTAACAGGTTTCCTCCGTTTTTCGATGACAACGCCTTTGGCATTTATCAGAAGATTCTCGCTGGCAAGATAGACTTCCCCAGACATTTGGAGTTCACTGTCAAGTAAGTCAGCCGTCTTCTCCGGTCAGCGGGGGCGTTTATTTCTAAAGCCCCCGAGAAACGCGCCAGTGGACACGTCCTGCCTGGCTGGGTACCACCCTGGTTTGTCCCGCTGCGATCGGCTGATGCTCTTTGGATGGGTCATCTTTTCCGCCCGAAAAGGGGAAAGCTTTTCATGACTCTGCTGGGATGACACTTCACCTCTTCATGAGTCGCAGCCGTATTTTACATCTTTTGAGATAACGGGTGTGTGTATCATTAGCGAATAAAGGCTGTTCATCATCACATTGAATAAGGAAGCAGTTTTGTTATTCGAGAAGAAGGCCCTTGTTCCTCCCAGCTAGCAAGCTTGGCGGCTGGTGCAGGCGTCCATGACTTTGCGTGCTAAGTCTTGGCGACCCCACGGACTGCAGCCCACCAGGCTCCTCTGTCCGTGGGATTCTCCCGGCGAGAATACTGGGGTGGGTTTCCATGCCTTCCTCCAGGGGGTCTTCCCGATCCAGGGATCAAACCCGGGTCTCCTGCATCTCCTGCAGTGACAGGCAGATTCTATACTGCTGAGCCACCGGGGAAACCCTTGTATAATGTGTAAGTAATGTGATTGATTATGTTACTTAAATAAAACTTTTAAGGGGGAAATAGAAGGAAATGATTTCTTGAAACGCGCTTTGACCTCACTGTGTTGAATCCTCATCTGCTGTGTGAATACAGGCTTCTCTATCCTTCTGGGTTCTGATTTTTTTGTTGTTGTTGTTCACTTGCTACGTTGTGTCCAACTCTTTGGGACCCCATGGACTACAGCACACCAGGCCTCCCTGTCCATCACCAACTCCCAGAGTCCACCCAAACTCATGTCCGTTGAGTCGGTGGTGCCATCCAACCATCTCATCCTCTGTAGTCCCCTTCTCCTCCTGCCTTCAATCTCTCCCAGCATCAGGGTCTTTTCTAATGAGCTGGCTCTTCACATCAAGTGGCCAAAATATTGGAGATTCAGCATCAGTCCTTCGAATGAATACTCAGGGTTGATGTCCAGTGAGTCAGTATTCTGATACCGTCTGCTATTTAGAAGGAAAATCTCAGTGACCCAGCACACACAAACATACTTCCCTTGCTTCCGGGAAGGCAAGGACGTCCAGACAAGAATCCCACAGATAAGTAGACCCACCAGGCAAAGCGTGATGACTGATTTTGGTAAAATCACACATTGTGTAGTTGCCCGGGGTTGGCCTGGCAGGTATATTTGAAATGAAGGTCGGACATCCCCAGGGCAGACAGAGTTTCTCCTGCTGATGTTCAAAGGCTGTTTGTCTCTACGTTGATTTGATCAACCTCTGCGCCTTAGGTGGGTTGCAGCTCTGCGTCGCATAAATTGTTTAGGTTGTTTAGGAACAGATAATGGTGAGAAAGGGGCTTTGCAGGTGGAGCCAGCGGTAAAGAACCCGACTGCCAATTCAGGAGACACAAGAGACACGGGTTCGACCCCTGAGTTGGGGAAGATCCCCTGGAGAAGGGAATGGCAGCCCATTCCAGTGTTCTTGCCTGGAGACTCCCACAGACGGAGGGGCCTGGCGGGCTGCAGTCCATGGGGTCACAGAGAGTCAGACACGACTGAAGCGACTTAGCACTCAACAGTGGTGAGAAAGGAGCGCTAGAAGATGTTTGGCCAACGTGACGACTAACCTACTGGGCGGGTGTTCCTGCCAAACAGTGTGGATTTTATTGCTGTTGATCTGCTGTGTTTCCACAATTCAATGTGTCTCTGTGTCTGTCTCCTTCCCCTCCGAAACAGAGACCTCATCAGGAAACTGCTTGTTACCGACAGAACAAGGAGACTGGGGAACATGAAGGTCAGTATTTGCATCCGCACATGTGGAACGGTAGGGCCTTCCCACGTGATGTTAGTAGTCAAAAGTCCGCCTGCCACTGTAGGAGACTTAAGAGACGCGGGTTCCATCCCTGGATTGGGAAGATCCGCTGGAGCAGGAAATGGCAACTCACTCCAGAATTCATGCCTGGAGACTCCCCATGGACAGAGGAGCCTGGTGGGCTGCAGTCCACGGGGGTTGCAAAGAGTGGGACACGACCGAGCATCTCAGCACGCATTAAGTGGTACTCACTTTAAATGCCTCTCATCTGATTTCAGACATGTCAACAATGGCAGAATAGCCTTACCCATTCCTTGGCCAGATTTCAGATTTGATTTACCCAGAATCAGGTCTCCTCATCCCTCCAAAGAAGTCAGTGGCTCAGCAGTTATCTATAAGTTAACTAATAATTGCTTGCTTTATTTACTTATGTATTTTTTTTCTTTTTTAATTTTCATTGATGGATAATTGCTTTACAATATTACGTTGGTTTTTCTGCCACACATCAGCCCGAGGCCGCCATAGGAATACCAATGTCCCCTCCGCCTTGAAACCTCCCTCTTGTGATTCACATAGCACGTGGTTTACCCCTTTAAATCCAACAAGTCGGACGGCTTTTGCGATACGTTTGCAAAATGGTGCACCCGTCACCACAGTTTTAAAGAACAGGCTCGTTCCTTCCAAAAGAAACCAGTACCCTGTAGCTACCACTTCTCTGAAGTTTGCGGATTTCCCTGACGGTCCAGCGGTTAAGACTCCAGGCTTCCGCTGCAGGCAGCCCGCTTCCGACCCTTGGCTGGGGAATCAAAATCCCACATGCTGCAAGGTCTTGAGAAAAAAAAAAAAAAAACCCCCATCTCTCAAGTGAGACATCCTCAGTTTGCATCATAGTCACGTGACTTAATCTCTGGGCAGTAGTGAGCAGACGACATCATTCCATGAACCTCATTTTATACGTTTGTAAAAGTAGCTTAGGTGGTGAAGCTTCTGCCTGCAGTGCAGGAGACCCGGGTTCTATCCCTGGGTCGGGAGGATCCCCTGGGGGAGGGCATGGCAACCCACTCCAGTGTTCTTGCCTCGAGAATCCCATGGACGGAGGAGCCTGGTGGGCTACAGTCCATGGGGTCACAAAGAGTCAGACACGGTTGAGGGCTTAATACACACACACACACACACACACACACACACACACACACACACACACACACACACACACACACACACACACACACACACACACACACACACACACACACACACACACACACACACACACACACACACACACACACACACACACACACACACACACACACACACACACACACACACACACACACACACACACACACACTGAGCCACAGCTTCAGCTGAAGGAAATTGTCAAGATGAAAATCCCACTTCACGTTGGGAGGGCCAGGACCGTCATTACGCTTTGGTCTTTGTGGCCCAGAGCTCTACACGCGTGAACACCATGTTGCTGTTTAATTGCTCACTCGTGTCCGACTCTTGGTAACCCCGTGGGCTGTAGCCCGCCAGGCTCCCCCGTCCATGGGATTCTCCAGGCAGGAATACTGGAGTGGGTTGCCATTTCCTTCTCCAGGGGACCTTCCCCACCCAGGGATGGAACCCACATGTCCTGCATTGGCAGGCGGGTTCTTTTACTGAGCCACCAGGTAGGCCTTGAACACCATGACTGAATTTCTGTCTGTAATGAAGAAACGCACACAATGACGTTCAGATGCGTCATTGGTAGTTTGCTCCGGGGACAGAGGCTCGAGTCCTAGCGAGCCCGTGTTTCTCTCTGTGTGGAATCGCACGGCGCCTCTCTGTGACACGGGCTTTCCTGTCCTGCGGGCCTTCTCTGCGCTGATGACGGGTGTTCCTTTTGCAGAATGGAGCCGAGGATGTCAAACAGCATCGGTGGTTCCGGCTCGTGGACTGGGGCGCGGTCCCCGAAAGGAAGCTGAAGGTACGACCAGACGTCAGTCGGCCGGCTCCTCCCGGGGCGGGGGGGGGGGGGGGGGGGGCTCAAGCTCTCCTGGACACAAACACGGGCTCTGAGTCTGTGGCTCAATTCCTTAGGATGAATACCTAATGGACTGATTCAGATCGTTACTAAGCTCACATTGTTGAGGGAAGACCGTTAGCTGAAGAGTCAGTGGCTTTCCTGGAGGCTCAGTTGGTAAAGAGACCTCCTGGGATGCAGAAGTCCCGGGTTCGATCCCTGGGTCAGGAAGATTCCCCTGCAGAAGGGACTGATGAACCACTCCAGTCTTCTTGCCTGGAGAATCCCATGGACAGAGGATCCTGGCGGGCTGTAGTCCATGGAGTGGCCAAGAGTCTTAAAAGAACCATCTGTACCTTAATTGAGAAATTACAAAACAAAAGATATGCCAAGGTCAGTGCTTACATCAAAGATCAGTGGTCCCAGTTCAGCCCAACAGGTCTAGTCATAAAGTTTGAAATGTGAGAATTATCAAAAGTAACAGAGCAAGAAGTGCGGCAGTGTTGTTGGAGACGCGATGCAGCTAGACTTGCTCCATGTTCAGTTTCTGCAAAGCTTCAACTTGCAAGAGACACAGTATGTGCAGAGTGCAATAGAATGAGGCGTGCCGAAATGTAACAGCTTCCTGGGGCAGACTTGCCCCATGCTAGGTTTCTGCAAAACTTTGATTACATCTTTTCTTTAAAAAAAAGGGAGTATGTACGTGTGTGTGCGTGCGTGTGTGTCCTTAATCACTGAGTCGTGTCCGACTCTTTGCAACCCCATGGACTGTAGACCACCTGGCTCCTCTGTCCATGGGGATTCTCCAGGCGAGAATCCTGGAGTGGGTTGCCATTTCCTCCTCCAGGGGATCTTCCCAACCTAGGGATGGAACACACATCTCCCGCATGGCGGCTGGATTCTTTACAGTGTTAGCCGCTGGGAATCCCAGGAACACTGGAGTGGATAGCCTATGCTTTCTCCTGGGGTTCTTCCCGACCCAGGAATTAAACCGGCATCTCCTGCATTGCAGGCGGATTCTTTACCAGCTGAGCTATAAAGTGCAATAAAACTAGGCGTGCCTGAACGTAGCAAGCTTCCTGGTGCAGGCTGGCTCCTTGCAAGGTTTCTGCAAAGCTTTCGTTTATTAAAAAAAAAAAAAAAAAATACATAGTATCTGTATGGTGCAATAAAACTGGCGTGCCTGAATGTAACAACTTCCTGGCGCATACTTGATCCATGCAAAGGTTTCTGCAAAGCTTTGATTAAAACAAAACAAAACAAATATAGTATGTTAAAAGTGTGATAGAACTCGGGCTTGCCTGGATGTTAACAACTTCCTGGTGCAGACTGGCAATGTTTCTGCAAAGGTTTGATTTATTAAAAAACAGTATCTGCAAAGTGCAGTCAGACTGAAGCGTGGCTGAATGTAAGATCACCCGGTGAACACAGTTCCCCTCTGACCACGGCGCTGTATCTTGGCTGCTTCCTCAGCCCCCCATTGTCCCCAAGCTGTGCGGTGAAGACGACACCTCCAACTTCGAAGCGTATCCTGAGAACGACTGGGCTTCTGCCCCGCCGGTGTCACAGAAGGAGCTGGATGTCTTCAAGAATTTCTGAGCTCGGGACTCCCCCGCCTGGAAGGTAGATCTGTATTTTATGTATTGATTTCTGAAATATCAAGGCCTCTTTTATTTCATTCATTCATTCTATCACTTGAAAGTCTGTCAAAGTGTTAGTCGCTCAGTCGCGTCTGACTCTGTGTGACCCACCAGGCTGCTCTGTCCGTGGGATTCTCCAGGCAAGAATACTGGGGTGGGTTGTCATTTCCTCCTCCCACCGGGGAATCTTCCCAACCCAGGGAATGGAACCCGGGTCTCCTGCATTGGCAGGCGGATTCCTTACCATCTGAGCCACCCAGGAAGCCCTGTATCAGTTGAATTCTGTTTATTTTTAAATTTCATATACAGTTTTTCTTTTAACATATACATGCATTTCTTCTTTCTCAAATTCTTTTCCCATATAGGTTATTAGCGAGTGCCGACCAGGGTTCCCTGTGCTATAAAGTGGGTCTTGGTGGGTTGAAAGCACACTTAGATTGTGCGTCTGGGCCCTGTAGTTTTCTTTATCATAAAAATGTTTTTGTCTGATGGTCAGGTCCTATGGCAAAGTACCAGGAAACTGGGACCCACTTTTGTTTCTGTCATGAATCTCTTTTCAAATTTTGTGGACGAACTCGGGCTAGTTCTATGGGACATCGAGAACCCACCTTTAAAAAAGTCCTTTCAATTTTACTTTATCCAGCGTTCTCGCTCCGTAGAATTCAGGCTTGAGGGCCTTTGCCATAAGAGCGTGAAAGGCATCCTTGGCTTCTTTGGCGCTACCGTTGTTTGCTGTTGCTGTTAAGATGACAAATGTTCCCCAGGTGTTTTGGAAACTTAACAAAATCCAGCCTTCCCTGGCAGTCCCGTGGGTTAAGACTCCCTGCTTCCAGTGATGCAGGTTCGATCCTTGATTGGGAAAATAAGACGCCCTGTGCCACACAGGGTCAGCAGAAGATAAAAAAGAATAAACATTTAGAATAAAAGTAACCAGCCCTCTGTTTCATTTCATGCCAGACACAGGGTGATCTGAGCCTGCCCGGACACACAGTGGCCCCCGCGGGTGGCGGTCGGCCCCCATGGCCGACCCGAGGCAGCATCTTCTTCTTGGAGTAAGGATGTTTCTGCCTTTGTGTACGCCCGGATGTGTATAAAGAGATTGCAGAGCTGTTGACGTTCGTGGCCCTGGAATTATTTAATCTACTGGAAATCTACTGCACAGTAGGACACTTTGAACATTTCGATTGGTTGTAGGTTTTCTGCTTTTTAGCGTTGTGTGTTCCTACTGGAATATCTTGGTTTCGTTTTTTGGTTTTTTTTTTTCCCTCATAGACTTGACTTTTTATGTTTGAACTGAACTTGTTCAGATTTAACCACAAATTGTGTGTGTGTGTGTGTGTGTGTGTGTGTGTGTGTGTGCGCGTTTGCTCATGTCTGTGTATAAAAAAGGCGGTATGCTTGGAGCACAGAAATTGTGTAGTGATGTACATGTTCCTACTTTCCAGAGATTATATTTATGTTTCAGATTTTTCTTTTTTTTTTTTTTTTAAATGAATCTGTTCTCTTGCCGGACACAATTTTAAAAGTTATGATATATGCATTTTTTATCATCTTGTATGCATTTTATGGTTATATCCTATGACGGTCTGTATCCAGTATGTTTAGTGGTTTATATCTGGTAGCCTGGGGTCTTGAAACCAGAAGGCAAAGGAAGGAGATGTGAGTTTGAATTTTACTGCAAGACTAGCCACTGACCGCAGATGCTCTTCGAGGAATTTTGTCTGTGGCATTAAAACAAATTTCAGACTCTGTAGGGAGATGGCTAGCTGTTCGTATTCCAGGTTCAATCCCTGGGCCAAAAATGCATCTCCAGATATGGAAGAGTCTCTCTTCAGCATTGGCTTGAGGAACGTAATGCACATGTTTTCCTTTTCCCCTTTGGTTTTGGGAAAAGCCAGGAACGGCAGGGACAGGATGGAACCGTCTTGACCCTTCCTCAAAGTTTCTGCTCGCTTTCACTTCTCCTCCTCAGCGTTGGCTGTGTTTCTGGTTTCACAGACCTGCCGGGCCGTGCCGAACAAGCCTGGGGGAAGCTTTCCTTTTCCCTTTGGACCCGAGGGGCGGGGGAGGACGGTGGACCCTGTGGATCACGAACACTGGGCGTTGAGCGTGTCTCCGTGGGCGAGGGTTGCTGTTGAAGTTTGCGTGTCCCCAGGAGCAGGGCGTGGTCGGAGGTGCTTGGCGTCCATCCTGCGCCTCACTGCATGCCTTCTTGGGCCTCCCTCTCTTCTCTCTGCTTTCTGATGCTGACCTTTGCTGTGAGAAACCCCTAAGTGGGCCGAGCTTTTGGAGAGACAAGCGTGGCTCGGACCCGCTGTGTAAAATGCGGGCGTAGGGTCCAGCCAGGCCCTTGCCCGGGGGAGGGTCTGTGCATTTAAGCAGTCGGTTCTCGAGCCTTCAGTGACCGCGGGGGGTCACCCACCAGACCTCCGAGACCCCCGCCGTCCCCTCGCTTCCCCGCGCAGAGGGGTTCAGCTCCTCGGCCCACGGGGCTGCAGGCAGACTGTGCCCTCGGGATGTGTTCCTGCAAAGGGCTGGGTGCGCCCTCAGCCCTCAGATGCTCAGGTCTCTGCGACTCAGGTATCCTTGGGTCACCTGCTCAGTTCTTTGCCGTCGACACTTTTCCCCTGTGCTGGGCGCCGGAAAGCTGTGTCTTCCCCAGTTTTTGCTTCCCTCGCTTCCGCAGGCACATTAGGGGTGTGGAGAGCTGCTGTTTGGGAAAGTCATGATGGCTTTTTTTTTAACGTAGCACAAATGTCAGAGGGCGTCACGTATATGTCAGATTTGACCAGCTGCACCCTGAAGAATGGATGCTTCTGAACTGTGGTGTTGGAAAAGACTCTCGAGAGTCCCTTGGACTGCAAGGAGATCCAAGCAGTCCATCCTAAAGGAGATCAGTCCTGGGTGTTCATTGGAAGGACTGATGCTGAAGCTGAAGCTCCAATACTTTGGCCACCTGATGGCGCAGAGCTAACTCATTGGAGACCTTGATGCTGGGAAAGATGGAAGGCCGGAGGAGAAGGGGACGACAGAGGATGAGATGGCTGGATGGCATCACCGACTCAATGGACATGAGTTTGAGCAGGCTCTGGGAGTTGGTGATGGGGACAGGGAGGCCTGGCGTGCTGCAGTCCACGGGGTCTCAAAGAGTCAGACACAATTGAGTGACTGAACAGCAAGCAACTCCTGGATCAGAAGACAAGGGGTGTGTGTGCTTGAAGGAGATACAAAGGGAAATGACACCTACAAAAGCTTTGAGCCCAAGGTGCTAAATCACCCCCTTCTCGTAAATGACCTCGTCTTCAAAGAGCAGTCCATTCCGTAGGCGAGAGTGAGTCCAAGATTGAAGTAAAATAAACCTTACAATGGGCAACTCATTAAAAATTTACTTTCAAAGGGTGCACTTGGACAAATGTTCCCGGAGAACTGTTAGTTTGAGTCTGTACTTTCCCATCACCACGCTCTTTGGATTAAACGGTGAGCCAGCGGGGACTGAAATTTTATCATGCCATTTCTGAACTATTACGTCGTTGAATGTTAGAAGGTTAAATTAGCAGTGGGAACCTGCACAGAGATAGAGACCCATGAGGAAAAGCATTAAGTCTTGTGTCCTCTGACTGTAAAAATAAATGACTGTTATTTGGAGCCTTATGCTTAAGAAAATACAAAATAAATGAAACACCTTTCTTGAACACAATACAAAAGTTGTAAATACAGACATTGATCCCAATGCATATTTTTTTGGCTTGGTTCTTCCTCTCCAGGATGCAATTTATGAGATGAAAATAGCACAAGAACGCATGAAAATGCGTTGCCTTAATTTTGAAGAATTATGCAGGGCAAACAAAGGTTCAAATACCGTGGATGGCTCGCTTGTTTATAAAAACATGGTCGTTGACCATGAGCCATGCCAAGCGGATTGGAAAGGAAGAGGAATTCCAACACTGCCAGATGGGGTTTACCTCACCTTTGACACCCCTGGTGCCCATTTAGTCATCGAAAGCATCATGTGCTGGTGGCTGGGCCGTAAATTAAATGGTCTGACATCATGCAACGCTGAGCGTGATCAGAATGAGTCTTAAAGACATGGACGGCCCGCTGCCCTATACAGCCAGAAAATCCTTCACTCCCTGGAGGCATTCTGTGATGTTGGAGTCTTGGGTCAAAAGTAATCAGGGTGTGCTAGGTTTTGAAGAAAGTTCGCGGCCACGGTGACAACATTCCGAACCGGAAAAGGAGAGATCTGTTTTTTTGTTTGCTGCCGTTTGACAAGTTGGCAAAATCTCCCTAAATGACAATACTCTTTAAAATGTCTTGGGACTCCCCCGCCACCCCATCCCTGGTGGCCCAGTGGTTGAGACTTCACCTTCCAGTGTTGAGGGGGGCGGGGTGTGAGTTTAATCCCTGGTCGGGGGAGCTGAGATGCCACATGCCTTACTGTCAGAAAGCCAAAAATATAAAGCAGAAGCAATGTCACAAATTCAGTTAAGACTTTAAAAATGGTCCTTAGCCTCCTCCCATCCCGAAAAAAATTCTCATAAAGTCTTTAGGAAATGCATTGATTTCAGGAGGTGGATCGGGGTGGGTCTTGGTGTCCTCAGGGAAAAAATAAAGCCAGCCTGCTTTGAGAGCATCTGTAAAGATGCAGAAGGAGATAAAATGCTAGCCGGTCACCACGGCATATGGCCCGTGGTCCCGGCAGTTGGGATATCCCGCTCAGCAGACTTGTATCATTGGCCAGCAGTGGAAAAAAAAAAAAACACGAAAACCATGATTTCTGCTGCCGATTTGTCAAAATATGCAAAGGAAAAAACAAAAACAAAAACCAGTAACCAGATAACCGGCGTGCACGTCACACCATCACGATGCTTTAAAACTCCTCCCAGTCTTGCTCCTCGAGCAGGTTTGGCATCACCTGTTTTTCACTGTCTCGGGCGATGTTTGCTTTCCTTCTCTCCATCCGTACATCGGGACCAACCTGCCACCCATCCGAGTCACCAGAAGCGCCAAGCAGTTGAGTGATATGATAGGCACCCCACCCGGGGGAACCCTGAAGACTGCATTTCCTCCTCATCCTAACAACAGAATCTTTGCTGGAACTTCAGCTGCAGGAAAGGTTGGAAAACTTTTTTTTTGTCCCTTGCCCTTTCATTTTGCGTCACAAAATTGACCGCATCATGTAAGTCTTTCCATCGTTCCCAATTGAGATTAAAATGAGGTGCCTGTCTTGTTCTTTTTTTTCCCTTCCGGTGGTCCCTCTGCCTGGCGCGTATTCTATACCTGCTGAAACACTGTGTATTCTGTACACTCCTTTATCTGATTCTGACTAATCAGTTCAGCTTGAGTGGGTGCGATTGTACAGTTGTCTTAAATAATATATTTGAGTCTGTGTGTGTGTCTGTCTGTCTGTGTCTTGGTGGAGGTTGAGTGGTGGGCGATGCTTCCACCAGGCGTCATGTTTTCATACCTAGCTGGTTCCTGCTGACCCCGTGTGGTCACCGCCACACGCTACCCTTGATAATCAGAAAGGAAATATTCTGGAACCATTCCCTCTAAGTTACTGTGTCTGCATTCGTTTTCCGTGGATGCTCTCCTTGCTCTTCCGTGGTGGACTCCTGTGTTATTTAAATAAAACTCATGGCACGTGTGTTTTTTCTTGCAACTGGGATCAGAACCGTTTCCGCTCACCGGCTGCCTTTCCTGGCTCCCCGAGACGCTTTCTCTGGCTCTGCGGGGCGGTCAAAGGTTTTCTTTTCTTGAGGGATGAAGCATCCAGGGCTGGTGTTCCTCCTTCCTGCCCGGGTCATACGGGGAGCCCCACCCTGATCATTTCAGCTTCTCAAGTGGTTTAAAAAAGAAAGAAAAAAAAAAAAGCCTGTTTCTACACCTCTCCATTCCTTGCACAATGAAAATCACTGTGATTTGTATATATACATATATATACGCACCCTGGGAAGATTTTACTGCTGTCTAATTTATGGAATGATGCCATTGATTCCAGGTTCGTTTAATAAAACTTTGTATCTTTTAAGATAGAAGTCTGACTCCGGTTTGATTCTTTGGTCATGGGAAAAGCTACAAGCTTCTCTGCTTTCAGCTAGCCCCGAGTGTCAGCAGTCTTCTTAAATTTTTATGTTTTGCTGAGATGTAAGTGACCACAAAATTATCTTTGTTTCAGATTTACAGCATAAGTCATTCTACATATGTATATAAAGCAAAAGAAACAAAAGGAAAAAAACCCTCCACTACATCTGGGTAACATCTATGCCCTTACATAGTTACAAAGTGTTTTTCTTGTGCTGAGAACTTTCACACTCTGCTCCTTTGAAACAAGTTGCAGGTATATGATTCAGCCTTGCATTTGCTCCTGCAGAAGGCCAGATGGACAGTATTTTTGGCATTACCTGTGCAGTGTGCAAAATCAGCCTCAGGCAACGTGTACAGTGAAGGGGTGTGGCTGTGTTGAAATAAAGTTTTATTGATACCAGGAGGCTGGGGGGGCCGCCGGGTTTGCTGGCCTCTCATCTGCGGCACTGTGGTGTCTTTACCAAGTCACCTTTGCAGCTGGTTCTAAGTGTGGCTTCGTTATTGTCATCACAAAAATATTTCAACATTTCATTCTCCTCACTCGCTCACACATAGCTTGGCCTGACACGCAACTTTCCAAGTCACCTTTGCAGTGTGGTTAATTAAGAAAAAAAATTCCTGCCTTTCTCACTGTAAGTCAAACCCATGTGTGATTTTTTTTTTTAACACTTGAATCACATTGTTGCAGTTGAGTGTCAAACTTCACAGGGCTTCCCCGATGGTTCAGACGGTAAAGAATCTGCCTGTGTTGCAGGAAACGTCAGTTTTATCTCGCTGTTGGTAAGATCCCCTGGAGAAGGGAATGGCATCCCACTCTAGTGTTCTTGCCTGGAGAATTGCATGGACAGAGGAGTCTGGCGGGCTACAGTCCCATGGGGTTGCAAAGAGTTGGACACGACTGAGTCACTCTGCACACAGAACCTTTGATAACCACCATTTTACTCTTTTTTTTTTAATTGGCCTTTTTAGATTCCACATATAAAGGAGATCATACTGTATTTGTCTCTCTCAGTCTAACTTATTTCCCTTAGCATAATACCCTCCAGGTCCATTTCCGTTGTGGAAAAATGGCCGGCTCTCCTTTTTTATGGCCGAGTAATATTCCATGGTACGTATCTTCTGCACCTTCTTTATCCATCCATCTATGTACAGATGTTGAGGGTGGTGACAAATGTTGGTGACCATGTGGAGAAAATGGAACCCTCGTGAACCGCGGGTGGGATTGTAGACTGGTGCAACCTCTGTGGAAAACAGTGTGGAGGCGCCTCAAAAATCAAAAGTAGAAGTGCCGTTGTTGTGGTGCTCATTCATGTCCCACTCTGTGTGAGCCCGTGGGCTGCAGCCCTCCAGGCTTCTCTGTCCACGGGATTCTCCAGGCAAGAACACTGGAGTGGGTTGCCGTTCCCTTCTCCAGGGGATCAAGAGCGACCATGAGATCCAACAGTTCCACTCCTGTGCGGACGCTACGATCTAACATTTAGAAATAGGATATTCTCCTCCCCCTGTCTCCTTTAACGAAATTAAGGCTGAGAAAGACTTAAGTCAGTCATGCAACATCTCGTAGTTAATAAATCGTGGAGCTGAGATTCAAACTCTTATCTGATCCCTGCTCATTCCATTGTACCACGCATCACAGTGATAAAAATGTTAGGACAGTCGTTGAGGAAATGAAGAGCTAGGTTCTCTGTATTCAGATGAAAGCATTGGAGGCTAAAGATCTCCAGTCACTGTATTGATACGGACAGTTGGATGCTTTGGTTTGTCTTAAGATGAGATGGTTGGATGGCATCACCCACCCAATGGACAGAGGTTTAGGTTAGGGTTAGGGAGTCGTGAATGGACAGGGAGGCCTGGCATGCTGCAGTCCGTGGGGTCGCAAAGAGTCGGGCACGACTGAGCAACTGAACTGAACTGAAGGCAAAAAGCCCTGATTTACTTGAACCCGGGTCCGTCAACCCTTTTGAGAGTCAGATTTATCACCGGCAAATTACCTTCCAAAAATACAGACCAGAGGCTGTTTTATAAGCTTGTGAAGCTACAAGTTTGGATAAACATTAAAAACAATTTTTTTTTTTTTTAAATCGGAGTATAGTTGAGTTACAATATTGTAGTAGTTTTCAGGTGTATAGCAGAGTGAATCAGTTATATATATACATTTATCTGCTCTCTTTGTGTGTGTGTGTGTAGCAGAGTTTTATGAAAGTATGAAAAGTGACCGAGAAGGCTTCTGACATAGAAATTACAAGAGGGAGGGAGAGTGCCCCACCTTGCTCGTGTTAGCAAGGAAGTGATATATGTTTTTAATTGGTTATTACCGTAAATCAAAAGAATGTCTCAAGGTTGTAAAAAAATTTTACCAGACCCACTCCCATGGTTTACATTTCAAGATGAGAGGATTAGAACTTAGCAATCGAAAGATCTTACCAGACCCACTCCCATTATACACATTCTGAGATATCAGGATTCGTCAGAAGGTTTCAGGAATGGAGAAGCAGGATACATACATGGTGGTTATATAATCCCTTACTGCCGAATTAAACTGAGTTGTTTGTTGTGTAACCATCAGTTCCAGGCTTAGAGAGAAAAAAAAAAACAAAACATTTTATGTGACTAAGGCTAAGGAATGTAGAAATAAAAAAGGCGTTTGTCCTTTCCTCCCCGCTGAGAATTCCAGACCCCTATCTCCTCTTCGAGAGCCCCAGACCCATCTCCTTCTTGGGGACCCCCCATCCCCTTTCTCCTCCTCGGGGACCCCGGATTTATCAATCTGCCTCTCTCAACCCCCCCTTTTCTCTTTAGGAGAATTATATTGTCAAGGGAAAGGGGAGTCATTTTCCTTCCGTAACTGCTTCCTGCTGTTGAGGGGCGTCGCCCCTAAATCGTTGAGGCAACATTCTCCTAACCCTCACGTTGAGGGTCTCTGATCCAGGGGCCCCAAGATGGCAAGGTGGAGGAGGTTGCGGACCTCCACGGAGCCTGGACAAACCATTTGTGACTTCACAGCTTTCAAACCGTCACAAACAGACCACGTTAGGCAGTTACAGAGGTAAGGCAAAGCCATCATTAAGTCTCGTTAAAGCATAATCAGAATTAAAAGTGACATTATGTCCGTAGTTACGGTACAATGTGTTATACCAGTCCCGTCCTGGGATTGTGAGATGTCATCACGGAGTTGAGGAGAGTCCTTTGCTTGAAGCAGAGAAACCCACCATGGGAAGCCTTCGATAGATGGGGCGGTTGAAAAGCTCACAGCCGAGTCACATCGTTAATTTTAAGGCTTCAGGATCTGTGACAGTATCTACTCACGAAAGCGTTCTGTCATAGAGACAGCCCCTTGTTAGGAACAATCTGAGCCCTCATTAAAACTACAGGTAAAACTTGAAACAACCTGTCTTGCGTTTCCTGAGTTAGCTTACGCAGATGCCTCTTAATAATGTAATCAGCCTTTTTAGCTTTTCCTGAAGATTGGGGTCTCTAGGACCAGTCAGTGTAAGGGATTTTCTATTCCTCGAGGTTCTGACACCCCTTGAGTTACAGTAGCTTTAAAGGTGGAGCTAGAGTTTTAAGATCCCACTTTTGATCCTGAGAAGTCGGTACAGTAGGACTTTGCTCAACAATAAACTTAGGAGCTTCAGGCATTAGCAAAACAACAGCGGCGATTACCCTTAAGCACTGTGGCTGTAGTCTTTTTTTTTTTTCCCAATAACAAAGTAAACTCTGATCCTGCGGGCCAGCTGGAAGCAGGATGTTGCAAGAGAGTGGTTTGAAGATCCTTAAAAGCCTTTTGCATCTCTCTGGGGACCAGACCGGTTTGTGTTGTCTCCGTTATAAGTTTATATAAAGGCCGGGCTAGTTCCCCATAACCCGGAATCCAAGTGAGGCCATAGCCTATAATGGCCAAGAAGCCTCTCAATTGTCTTAAAAGTCTTAGGTAG